ATATATAAAGAGAAGCTGGAGGAGAAGGATGTATTGCCTATCCTAACGCCGGGAGAAACTCTCCTTAGAATACCTCTTTGCCATTTTGAGCTGTATTTTTACAGATGTGTTTATGTTTAGCCTGGAGGACCTGGTAGTCCAGTTTTCACGGCTTTATTTTGTTTCCCATAGGGTTTATATTTGATTTCTGGTTAGGGGGGAAGCTCTGGGTCCTACGGTCCGTGGTGTGGCTGGCTCGGGTTCCCTCCTTCTGTTTGTTCCTTTTGGCCAGTCCTCCAGACCTCTTTTTGTTTCCCGTTTCGCTTGTGTGAGCAAACGGCTGATTATCCATAAATGCTCGTTACCAAGTACCGGTTATTGCGTGTATTCTTTCATGTTGCGGGTCTCAGCACGAGCCACTAACGCTGAGTAGAGGTTGGGGCCGTAACAACATGTCCAAGACACTGTGAAATGTACTTTGCACGGACCCTCACTATTGCGGTAAGCGTGTTGTAACTTCCAGTTGTTGTTACGGTTGTTGTTGTTGTCACCTCCGGGTATCCTGTGTGCCTGTTCTGCTGCTGATAGCTTATATTATCTTAAATCGATCATTTTAAAACTCTTGTTCACGGCAACTGCCTGACGTTGTAATCACACGCTACTACAACTTAAGCACTCACAACTCTCCTTCTCTTAGCGACTGTAACTCCACAGTTGCCTACACTGCCAAGGCACACGCTAACGGTAGCTACTTTAGCTTGATAGCTAGCCATGGCTCTTTCCCCACCCTCGGGTGCTATTTCCTGCTCTAACTGTCTCATGTTTCGTTATTCCCCTCTTTACTGGTACCGATACCTGTGTTAAATGTAGTATATTTGTTAGGTTGGAGTCAGGAATCATAGCCATAGAAGCCCGGCTCCACATTTTAGAAAATAACTCAGCTACAGTAAAGCCCATCTTAGCCTGTGCGGACCGGCAAAAGGTAGCTCCTATTAGCCGTCCCCCGGCAACTCCCGAGAAGCAGGGAGACTGGGTGACTGTTCAGAAGGGGCATAACGCGGAACACGCAGGTCCCCACCAACCCGTTCACGTATCTAACAGATATTCCCCACTCAGCGAGACACCCGCTGAGAAGCCAACTCTGGTTATTGGTAGCTCTATTATGAGACACGTGAATTTAGAGACCGAAGCCTCCACAGTCACATGCATTCCGGGGGCCAGAGCGGGCGACGTTGAGGCGCATCTTAGACTGCTGGCTAAAAATAAACGTAAATACAGTAGGATTGTTATTCACGTCGGTGGTAATGATGTTCGTTTACGCCAATCAGAATGCACCAAACTTAATGTGGCGTCAGTGTGTAGTTATGCTAAAACAATGTCGGACACCGTAATCTTCTCTGGTCCCCTCCCCAATCTGATCAATGATGACATGTATAGCCGCATGTCATCATTTCAGCGCTGGTTGTCTTGGTGGTGCCCGGCAAACAATGTGGGCTTCGTAAATAATTGGACAGCCTTCTGGGGAAAACCTGGTCTGATTAAGAGAGACGGCATTCATCCTACTTTGGAAGGTGCAAATCTCATTTCGGCAAACATTTCAGGGCTTTGTGGACTTAATCCATGACAAACTGGAGTTGAGACCAGGAGGCTGAGTCGCAGTCTTACACGCTTCTCTGCGCTCTCTCCTAGGCAGTCATCCATAGGAATCCCGAACCCAATAAAATACCCAATATTAACGGTGTGTGTGTCTGCCCAAGGACAATTTAAGGTAAAACCTAATAGAGGTGTCATACATAATAACCTAATAAAAGTAAATGTAACAAGACNACAGAACTGGCCTGTCTGTGAGCTCATTTTATGTTGGTTTGGTTCTTCTGATAAAGGTGTGAATATCTAAATAATATACCACCATATGCTATTGTCATTAGTTGTGTCCCTGTTCTTCAAGCTAAGGCATTGCTAAATTAACAACTCTTGGCTTACAGAGTGGTAACATGAGACCGATTTTTCTATATAAAATATAAATATATTTTTATTTTATAATTTATTTTAAATATTAACAATATAATAACATAAATGGAAATATATACACCGGCAAATATTTAATATAAATACCTTGTTGTTCCCTCTCTGTGTGTATAGCTATTGCTTTATCTGCTTAATGTTATTTTCCTAAGAAAGTCCATGATTATAAGTATGCAGTATCATAACTACATATTTGATTTATAAAAAAAAAAAAACGTTTGAAAATTGGTTGAAAATTGAGCAAGCTATGGTTATTTAAATAGTAAACCATAATGTTATGAATGAGAGCACTGCCTGTAGCAAGATGGCGGCCATGTGGCAACGTCGGTCTCCATTGGCCAGCAGCGCGTGTGAGTCATCTAGTGTTTATATATCTATGGTACCCACTGCCCACCAGCCACGCCCCGACACATGCGGTCACGACGGCCAATCACAAAGCTTTGATGCGTTCAAGTGCATTATTCTGGCACAGGAAGATTATGTTATAGGACATTAACCATAAAACAGAGTATTGTTGTTCTATTTTTAGACACATCTCGCGATCGACTGGGAATCTCCCCGCGATCGACCGGTCACCACTGCAGCTCTGCTCTGTCACTACATGTATTATCTGTGTAACCAAATCGCATAATAATCGGCTGATGGAACAAACAGTGATGGAATGTAACCACAACGCATTTTTTAACTACAACTCAAGAACAATGTTTGAAGTACTTGTTCTTTTATGGTACTTTATACCACTACACTTTTACATTTTGAATTGCTTTGCAGATTTAGATTTTTCATCCAAAATATAAATCAACTCTTTGGAGGTTAAGCTACTAGCAGTATATCTACTTTTATTAAAGCAATAATTAGAATCCAACAATTCTGAATTTAGCCATTCTCCATAATGAGTAATTTTACTTCTGGTCCTTTAAGCATATTTGGATCATAATACTTATGTACGTAAGAATAATACTAATCCAAATGCAGGACCTTTACTTGGTACAAAGCATTTCTACTTTCTACATCTCTACTCTAGTATATCGATACTTCTACCTAAGTAAATCTGAATAGCCTATTTACTCCACCAATGATGTGATTTATAGCCCACTGTTGCATTATTGATGGAAGAAGTTATCTGATCCTTCACTTAAGTAAAAGTACATATAAAACTACATTACAAGTCAAAAGCTTTCGAAAGAGTACCAGGAAATCTGAGGAATATTGTTGATTGTACGCATGTAGATGTAATTTATGACATTGACAAGCAATTTTGTAGAAACAGAATATAAAACTACTTATACATTATACTGTTCACTGCTATAATTAACATCAGTATTTAAAGCATTTGACATTAGCCTCACCTTTACCATCACCATTAAAGTGATCTGCACATTAAGGCATCAAAAACTACCCAATAATACATCGTTTTGAAATTGGCCATTGTAGAGAGAAATACTTTTACTTTGGTATTGTATGTCAATTGCAATGTTTATACTCTTGAACATTCACTTAACTAAGATTTAAATGCAGGACTTTTACATGTTTTTGTTCTACCTTGTAGTACTGCTCCCAGAAATCCTGTGGCGCCCTCGCGCGGCATAAGTCAGTTGCCATAGTTTCCTGTGTTGCTTCATGAGTAACTCTGGCTCTGTAAAGTAGCGCCATTTGTTTCCGACTTAAAATCACGTTAATTGAAAGCAGCTGTGTGAATCTCTGCACAGTGACGCACGCGAGGAGCCACGTGAAGTTGCCTTCAAATCCTGTAGGAAGAAATTATATTTGAACGGAAAATACATCAAGTAAATAACAACGGTGACTCCAAACAACGATACGTTGTTGTGTCATTTTACAGTTGTAAGTATTTTGGTGAGGACCTAGGCTGTATTGAACCTGCAAAAGAGTAGTAGTACAGTACACATATTTCCCCTTTCCTGGGAGGAAAATATATGTAATATTTCACAACAACATTTTGGAGAAAATTCCACATAATAATAAAGAAATGTCTGTAGCAGAACTCTTAGTTTATGCCCCATTACTCATTTTACAGCACTTAGAACACGTTTATCCAACTGATATCAATTTGATGATGTCATATGATAATATATTATCACTCAGACAGACCGTTTGTTTTTGTAGGACCCTTATTTTTACTTGTGATACTTATATGCAGTTTGCGTTTGGCTTACTTTGGATGGTGGACTTTTACTTGAAAGGGAGTTTTTTTAAATGGTTGTAGCCTATTCCTCTATGGCCTTGTGTACACAGAAATAAAAGCAAAAGTGTGAAAGACAAACATTAAGTCATAGAAAAGTGCAGGAGAATACACTTTATAATAAGGATGGAACTGGTAAAAATAATAGAAAAAGGATGGCATTAAACAAGCAATTAATAAATATGAGTGCAAAAATATAAAGTATAGACATTTAATTCCAAATAAACCATTTACGTTTCAGAAATAATAATAATAAAAAAATCTGACCATTTAAAAAACGTTCCCATACTAAATTAAACCTCCAGTCAAACATCCTCAAATATTTCCATCTGTCAGCTCAAAAACACGAGCTTTTTAAGGGGCACTTGAATGCACCATATCCCGCTTTCCTGGAAAACATTTGGAGCTTCTTTGGCCAGGAATAGAAAAACACGAGCACATCCAAAAGTGATGTGTGGTTAACCTGCGAAACGGGCGTGAAATGTGATTCCAAAAACTAGAAAAGGAACAAAATAATCCAAAACAAGAAAAGAAACACCACAACACACCTGCAGCTGAACGCACACTTCCACGCACCCAGTAAAGTATACAAAAGCCAAACATCTCTCCACAGACACATAAATAAACTCAGATAAAGTTGTACTAAAAGACAAAAACATGTTTATTTTCCAACCCTGAAATAAAAAATGTCTTAAAATGAGTTTATACTGTCAGATCTGGATTTAAAATGGTAGAACATGTGAGTGTGTGTTACTGGGAGGAGTCTGGAGTTCCTGTATCCAGCTGCTGTGTGTTTGGAGGATCACTGCCATCAGGCTGATCTCCGAGCAGCCTCAGAGTGAGATGAAGGGGATCCGTCGGCATCAGATATGTCACACTTTTTACAATGAAACCAGTTGGATCAACTGATGCAGAGGAGCTCAGACTAGCAGTACAATTTGAGATGAAGAGGAGAGCCTGAATACTTTTTCCACGGAACAAACCGAAGGTAGGAAAAGCCCCCTTCACTGCACCTCTGTATGCAGATGTTCCTGAAGTAATGAAAGTAATTGGGAAGTACTTGGAGAAACAAGCAGCTTCTGTACAGTAAAATCAGTGGAGACAAAAGTAATGGAAAAATATACTTCCCTGTTTTTTGTTTTTTGTTGTGATAATAGTTTCAATCAAGTTGAATGAATGGTGGTCAACATTTCTTTTGTGTTTAAATAAACCCACAGGCAACCTCTTGAGATATGTTTTGCTATTTACTGAGTGCGTTTTTGTAAGAAAGATCAAAAAGTGCTTAAACTTCATTATATGAGTACATTTTGATGATCAATTTAAATCATTTCCCAACCTTTCTTCAAGTGGAATATGCAGTCTTTCTTGGATGCTTTGTTTTATAAATATTATTCGTATTAATATATCTTCTAAAACTGACAGATGAATGGATTTGCAGGCAGCACTTTTATTTCCAGGCTTTTATGGATCAATAACTGAATCCACAAACAATTAAATTATCAAATTAGACAGTGACAGCTTCTCAAAGTGTTTCTTACTGTGATTTAAAAAAAGGTATGTCTCATTTTTTAAATGTTGATAAAAGTTCCATCTTGAAGAGAAAGAAGTTGAGAGTAGATTAGTAGTAACTTTGTCTCAACACTGAACACAAACCCTATTAATTGTACTAAACTGTGCTCAGTTTCTTATGGTCGGTTTGATGACGTGTTTTTTTCTGTTTATGAGGTCTTAAATCAAACTATTGATTAATCAAGAAAATTATTGATAACTCCATAATAAAAATAATCATTGGTTGTGGCAGTGCTTCTTACCTCTTCTTCAATCTCAAAACGCTCTTCAGTGCTGTCACTATCACAACGTCACATATGTCAGTTGGCCAAGACCCCTTGGTGTTAATTGTAATGTCAGGGTATTTAGCATAGACTTTTCAACATTCAGGTTACTCCTATAGACATTAAGGCGACATGAGAGTCTAAGATGCCGTTTATAAGTCAAACCTCAAATGATTTATTTTTAATGACTGCTACACAGCTAACCTGAGCCAAGGGAATAGCTTGTAAAAGAGGGACAGAAACAGGGGACTGAGAGGGGCCCAGCAGCTCCCCTGGGTCCCCGGGCAGATTAATCCGGTCATGGGGAACAACATGTTTAGGCGTTTCCATGGCTGCATTGTCTGCAGGTTAATTTATTCTGAGTAGATCAATCAGTAATAGTAAACAGTGAGCCTGCTGCAGCCCATTGTCAGTGTATTTATCTGATTCATACAGTACATTTGTTTTAACCTGCTTAAGGTCTGCAACTGACTGTTATTATCACTGCCAATCAACCTTTTGTAACCTTATTTTCATTATTCGATCAGTGTATTAAATGTCAGAAATGGTTGAAATTCCAACCAACAGTAAATAACTCAGACATTTAAATTACAGTGATGAGTGGTGCTAAATATAACATAGTACATTACTCAAGTACTGTTCCTATTTACAATTCTGAGGTTCTGGTTATTCACAAATTCATTCTACTTTGTACCTCTACTCCACTCCTCCACAGGATTGAGTTTAATTTGACAAATGATGATGTTTTAATGTAGTTCAACTATTATATAAAGTACTAATACAATTTGCTGCTTTTGAATTATAGCTGCTTTTGAATTATATTTTAGATTGCAGGACTTGTACTTGTAACAGAGTATTCTTACACTATCCAACAACAGAAAGCCATAAAAAACACAGAAACACAGCAACATTTGACCTTATATCTTATTTAATGAGTAAATGATTGTTGGCTGTCCACATTTGTGCATATCAATCAATGGATCAAGTAGTCTTATAATATGATGTCCTAAAAGTGCATAACCAGATTATTATTGTTTTTTAAACTGATTAATTTGGTTTTAATGTTGTTTGTTGGTCTCTGCAGGTGGTCATCATGTCTCTGTGGATGATCCTTCCCGTCAGCCTGCCTGTCTTCACCATCACTGGGATATGGGTCGTGTGAGTATACCTCAGAATTGGTGAAAATAAACGTCAACAGTTGCTCCTAAAAAGTATTTCTGTTGACAAACTTTAATCCCGGTTATCTTTACATAAGCCTTGTTAGAGAGGCTACCTATTATCCCCACTGCGGTCATGATGACCTAAACTGTCTGTACAAAGTTCATGCATTTAAAACAGTCGCTTCTTTGGAAAGAGACAGTATAACGTCCTTCTGTTTATACTACGATTGTGCCTGAGAAGAGTCACCCTTGAAATTCCTCTCGGCCTCGGTGTTCTGGTCTGCATGTCCTGTCATCTGCATCTGCTTTACTCCCATAGCAGTCACATCTGTAGCTCTGCACGACAGCAGCATACATTAGGGCTGCTTTCCATGCTGCTAATAAACTGCTCTTGTGAGTATGTACCACAAATGTGTTTTTGACAGCACACAATCAACTATGGTCAAAGATTTAATAGAGTATAGTTTTAAACAACCCTAAAGATAAGAATGACAATTTAAAAAACACACTTAGTTGCACTGTTGTTAAGATGAGGAGAAGGTTACAGCTCTTACCGTATGCTAAATACAGTGTGTAGCTAAAGCTTGCAGGCGTTAGCTTAGCTTAGCAGATTGACTTGAAACAGTGGGAAACAGGTCAACCCAGTCTCACGGCATTTCGTGTTATAGTCAAGACATTTAATCTATTGATTCGTGTTCACCAACACGGTTTTCCGCCACTGGCTCTGTGTGTGTGTGTGTGTGTTCTGAGTGTTTTTTTCCCTTTAAAAACAAGGTAGCCAACGGCCCGTCCACACGGCGGCGTGCAATTGAAGCTTCAACGCTTCTGCCCATTCACTTTGAATGGGGGGACGTCATGCTTTGCCGAACTGCATTGTGGTTCTGTCGCTTCGCTTTGCTCGCGTTGCTCGCTTCGGCGCACGCGTCGGCCATGAAAGGCCAAATAAGGCGTGTCACGGCCGACGGTGCGGGACACACCAAATTGAGTTTTGGCGACAGGGCACGCTTCGTCGTCCGACTAACACCGACGCCGATAATCAGCCTGGTGTGTCCGGGCCTTAACAAGCCCCATGAGCTTCTCGTTGTAGAGTGAAAATGGAATGCACACGCTATTTGTTGTTTTTTTATATCATGCAGTCTGTTCTTCTTCTCTCGGTTATCACGCAGTCTGTCTTCTGGTTGTTGCCTCTTTTGAATGACGAATACACACTACCGCCGCCTGTTTTTAAGGAGAGTTATTGCCACTCACGCATGCGCAGTTCGTACGTGCAACTTGGCCGTCGGCTGAAGTCTTTGCGGTGTGTTCCAGTGCGAAACATGGCCAAGACGCAGGAGACGTGAGGCGATTTTCCGTCGGGACGTGTTCTTTGGTGTTCTTTGGTGTCAGTTTGGTGTGTAAGAGGCTTAAGATGCATGCCAAGGAAGTTAAAACCATTGTAAACACATCCAGTTTCATCTTTACATTTGGAAGTATGCAGAACACTGAGGCATCATGGGATACAGAGTGAGAGTTCAGAGTGATCTGTGTGTTTAACATTGAAGGTGTTAAATGGAGATTTAAAAGAGTTTACCAGCCTCTGAAAAGCTCACAAATTAACACCGGTTTGTTTAATTTGTACACATACCAAAGTGTAATAAAAACAACTTGTGGTTTAACAGTCTCTGCTGGTTGCCTAGCAGCCTCTCAGTGACGACAACACACAGCTATGCTTGCTATTTTTAGTATTAATGTTAAACTAGGCTTAACTGCAGGTTCATTTTTACTTTATGAGAGTGGTGTTCATCTTTCTTCTTACTCTCTGCAGTAAAGCAAACAAGTGGATTTGTAAAATATTGCACTATTCTTAACTCAGCATTGGGATTAAAGATTTGTTGTCTCTTCTGTATCAAATAATATATGTTTTAAAAAGCTATCTTTTTTTTAGTCCTTCAGATCTATACCATTTAAAGCAATCTTTTTAATGAAAAGTGATCTTAAGTTGCAGTGAAAGGTTTGTCTCCTATCTCTTACACCTTATTATTGTTTAGTGTTACTTTGTGCCCAGAATAATAATTGAATCATAAAATGGAATAAATGCTTACAAGCTTTCCAAGAATTGTAGAACAATCTGTATTTTTTTATTAATATAAAGGTTATGGTTGTCTGCCAGAAGTTGTCATACATTGATATTTTATCCAGCTTTCAGCCACATCAAGAAGATTCAAATTTAATTTAATTACACATAAATCCGAAATAAATACTCAGATGTCAGAGAGAAGGGGCAGCCAATGGTTAGGCCGCTCAGCACTTGGGGGTTTTGTGCCTTGCTTAAGGTCAGAATCAGAATGAGAATATTATCCAGGGGGATTGTGGGCTTCATGGCCATCTTGGCAGTACCCTATATTTCAGTCCATGAATGTGTTGAGCTTAAGTTATCTGAGAAACAAGCCAGGACATTTTCAAAAACACTGATTTTTTAATTTTAAGTGCATTATTGACTGTTTTTTACCCACTTTAATCACTGGGTTTGCTTTGGAGTGAAGGAGACCTCTAATTCAGCTGATTGCAATAACATACTCCCGTGATCAACTACTACTTTACAATGCCACCAGAATTCGTCTTTGCCAATGTTTTTTATGAATAAACCCCTTGTGGCAGAAAATGACATATTGTGACATATAATGCCATTCCACAAAAGACCTAGACACCACAAATCTTTGGTAAATAGTTTTGCCCTGCAGCTGTTCTTGTTAAAGACACACTGACAGGCTGCACGCTACATAGCAGTTACACCATCATACACACTTCTACTGCAAATTTAAGGATGTTGAGACGTTAAGTTTATTTTCTGCTCTATGTGAATGTGTCCTTTGTCTCTCCTCTTCTTCTTCCTTTCTCTCCTCGGTGTGAATTCATTGACACAGCCTCCTTTTGTGAGAAGCCATTCACACCTTGACAAAGTGGAGGCGAGAACTTTTCACACCAGGTCTCCAAAGCTTTCCCCTGTATGAGAGGAGTCTGTAATCCCCCCCTCGCTTTGTTTTTCCGGCACGTTGACACCTGTCTTCTGGTGCCTTTGAAAGCCCTGTTGATCCAGAAACACAAATGAAGCATGAACTGCAACTAGTGAGGTTTTCATAACAGGAAACAATCAAGGAAAATCACTGTTTCTACATTTGAACCAAAACCAAGTTAATTATTTCAGACCAAAAGCTGTGATCTCCTTTCAACAAAGTTCATCACTCTTAGGTCAATCAATCAATTCTTCAGGAGCCTGTTTTGTTCTCTGTGTGTTCACTCAGTGTGTGTCTTGTCTGTGGCACAATGGGATTGTTTCATGACTTGATCTCTTACAGTTTGTCTTGATATATTTAAGCCTCAGATAACATTGATGACATCCGTGAAACAAGTCCACAGCCATGCTAGCGGCCTTGAATGTATCAAAGCTTACGTGTTGAAAATCATGTGTCAACTTTTCAAATGGCCATTTTTAAGAAAGGTTTAATTTAAGTAAAACAAATGTAACTTTTAAGTTGCTCTGGGTTGTTATTGTAGAGTGAACACATTCAAAGGATTTGAGAATCAACAGCAGCTCCTATAACGTGAGAGTGCAGGTTAAAATGGTTAAAAAACAGCCAGCTGCTTCTGCATGCACACGTATGACGAACACAAGTGGCCTCATTCTGTAAATGCTAAATTATGGTAATTAATGTGACATATGTTTTGATAGTACAAAAGTATGTTGTACTTAAATGCCCTGAAAAGCATGAATACTGCTCTATATTTTAGGTGCTTCATGTACGTGAGTGGAACAGCACTTTTTCCCAAGTGGAAGATATTTATTATTTTCTAAAGATTAATAAAGGACTGACAGTGATGTTTTAGGACTGGAGATCTTGTTTGAGCAATTGTATCAAAATTCTTCATTTTGTGTCTTCCTGTTCAGTTCTTTGACCAAAGATTCTTATTTTATTTTATTTTTACAGATATGCAATGTCCCTGTACAACCAGCATGTCTGTCCTGTCCATAACTGGTACGTAAGGCGCACGCACGCACGCACGCACGCACGCACGCACGCACGCACGCACGCACTCACTCACTCACTCACTCACTCACTCACTCACTCACTCACTCACTCACTCACTCACTCTCACACTCACACTCACACTCACACTCACACTCACACTCACACTCACACTCACACACACACACACTGCTTCATGATGTCAGTACTGGCAGTAGTGCACTTAGTGTCATGGACATTATTACTCACTAATGTGTACTGTAAGTCTTTAGGAATTTAGTTGTAATAGGACATTCAAGCAGAGAGCCAGACGAAGCCAAGAATCAGATGTAATGCTTGGAGAAGATAGAGAACAATTCAATCTTGAGAGAAAAAGTATTACACAACTGTTTTGATATTCGATTGATTTTCAAAGTCATTTTTCTTTTATCAAAACATTTTCAAAAATGCTGTTTTCAACTTCTCATATTTGGAGATTTCCTTTTTTCTCTATTTTTTTTAATCACATTAAAGTCTATATCTTTAGGTTATTGACTGACAAACATTTAAAGACATCACATTGGATACCCTTGGAGGAACTGTATTGACAGGATTTACTATTTTCCAACATTTTTTAAACTAAACAGTTAATAGATATCAATAATTAAAGTATTTAGTTGCAGTCCTTTCGTAAAAAAACTGATGCAGCGTTATTGTTCTTAATTATTTTTGCATAAAATACTTTACTTTTGCCCCAACAATTCCTAAACAGGTACATTTCTGACAGATATTTTTCCAAGGAGTTGGTTGAGACCAAAATAGGGCTGAAAGAGGGCGAATATTGGACTTACGATCATCAGCTAACCAGAAACATAACTGAAAATGAATGATCGTGTTGTCCTTTAACTGCTAAATGTGGACATGTTTGCTGACAAGTTCAATATCAACTTTAAAGATGACAATATGTCAGTGTTGAAGCTGCCAACTAGATGTGAAAACATGGTGTCCACACCAGCGTTTTCCACATCTTTGATCTATTTTGGTAGGCAAATAACTCACTTTACGTATCTTTCTGTTTCTGTGGTCAGATCAACCATAAAACACTGATTCACATCCTTGTTTCTAACACTTTTTTTCCCTCATCTACACAAAAAAGGTTGACACGAGGGGAGAGACAGACTGTGGGTGTATGAGGGGAGTTACAGTAAACTGAAGATTCAGAATGCAAACACATCAAAATGGGAGGAATCCAAACTCGAGTCAGGACAGATGAATTTAACTCCTAATAATCTGTGGAATGTGAAACTTAAACATGGATTAAATGTACCTGTGTGTAATAAAAGTACCTTCCCTGCTGGTACAGAAAACACCTAAATATGCCAAATGAAAATATGTAAGGAATCGGATTACTGTAGTTATCACATGTCAAGGTGTTTTCAAAAACCTTATCAGCAGAGATGTTTATGTCAATATCTGCCAGCCTGTTTGCAGTGCAGCTACCAAAACATTAACTTTCATATATTGATATACATACGGTAGCCGACAAGTGCAAACGCGCTAAAACTTCCATTCGGAGAAAAGCGCTGCAGCTTCAAAAGTGAATCAAATATAAAAGCACAAATGTGCTCTGATACATCGGTAAGCGTGTGTGAAGGCAAAACAACATGGTGTGTACACCAACATGGACAGCTAAGCATTTCCCTATTATTCAAGATACCTTTCACCTAACATATTTTGGGTTAATTTTCTACAGTTGTTTGCGTAGATCATGAAGAGTCATGAAGCTCCAAAAGTACATCTTAAGGCTCAAACATGAACAGACTTTACACACATTTGCTTACATTAGATCCATTATGCACCTTTGAAACTTGAAATCGGGATTTGTTTTTACTTGAGTGAACTAAAAAGATTCTAGCTTGGCTCATCATGAGTTTTTGAAAATTCATGCAACGTTCTGGCTTTGATCCTTTAATATTTTACTTTTAAATCTCGATATCTGTCAATATCTACAGATTAAAATTATTGATATGTCCCTGTGTGTGTTTGCAGGCTTTACAATGAGTCATGTGAGGAGCAGCTCCCACTACAGAGGGGTCCAGTCCTGTGCTGCACCCTGGACAACATACCACTCATCAGGTCAGTGAACCCACCTCTGCCTACGTATGTTAGTCATTCTGCTTTTGTATAACTCCTATTATATAGTACATATGTCAGTTTACTGTATGTGATCCTCAATGAACCAAACAATAGAACAGTGTTGACATCGAGACGGTGGTTAACTTTCTTGAAGCCACAATGACGAAACGAACCGAGGATGATCCTTTTTCCTCTCTCAGCATAACAATAATAATACAACAATACACATGTTGTGTGCATCATGTGGTGGCGGGTATCCACTGATGGTGAAATAGTAGCTTGCCTCACTCTGGTCTGTGGTTTTCAACCAGTTATATTTATATGGTCTGGGTTTCTTTTTTCTAACCATGCTTAGGTGCTTCACTTTTGCATTTTTGTTTACTCTTTTTTTTGTTGAAACCCAAATAGGAAATCAAGAACATTGTGTTCTACTTGGCACACAGGGCTGTGATTATGAAAAAAAAGTAGTATGAGTCATGGACAACATGTGAAATAAAAGACCTTTAAGTGGTTGCAACAGAACATTCATCAATCTTAATCTGTTGAATATTGTGCACTGATGTCATGCTATTTTTCCAGAATTAATACAGTAAGCACCATGGTTACGCTCAGGTGAAGTCAAGTTATATCTCACACAGGCTCCGCCCTCTACTGGACTTTATGGGTACTACTCTCAACCATGCTATGCGAGCACTCATACACTGAGTTTGTATAAACGTAGCCGGCCAATCAGGGTGAGCCTACCTGAATGGGCGCGCAGGCATACAGTATATAAGGCGGCCACACCTCCTGATCCTGTCATCCTTTTCTCTTCAGCGAAAGATTCAGTTCCGAATTGATTTTAAACTCCTTTCATTTGTTTTTAAAGCCCTAAATGGGCTGGCTCCGGCTTGTTTAGCAGAGCTCATCCATCGCTACACCGACTGCAAATAAACACGAGTGTGTGGGTTGTCTCGCTGATTGCAAGATGCCCCCACCTCACCAGATCAGAGCGATTATTTGACCGCAGCCTTGGCCAAATTAATAGCCTGGTCTGCGGTGTGGCCGCCTCTTGCCGTGGGGAGATCACGCCGCTTGGCACTTTCCAAAAAAGACGGTGATGATCTCCTGGGAGCCCCCGTGTCTACGGAAGTCTCTTTGGATCGATTTCATTGGTCACGTGGTCGTGGATGAGGAGTAGTCGCAGCTTGGCGTATGCTGCTTCTTGCTCATCCTCAGAGGACAGAACACTGTCCCACACTCGCCGCCCCGCTGTAACTCCAGTAAAGGAAGCAGCAGGTAGGCGCGCACACGTGAGTGGAATAAACCGCAGAAAGTGCTGTCAAAGCACTATGCGGGTTCAAAGACGCTATTGCCGGCATGCTGTTGTCAGAAAAGAAAACACACCTTGCCCGGTATAATAGCTCCGATTAATGTATTTCACCGTTGAATGTGAAACACAGCGTTAATACGAAGGCGCGCGGCCCCGTGAGAGTGGCGCGCGCATTCAGGTAGGCTCGCCCTGAATGGCCGGCTACGTTTATACGAACTCAGTGTATGAATGGTCGCATAGCATGGTTGAGAGTAGTACCCATAGAGTCCAGTAGAGGGCTCCGCCTGTGCTTATATAACTAGGGTTACAATACGTAACCCCCCATTTTTTCCCCTTCGAGCTTTGACTTGGGCATACAAAGTTAAAACTGTACACCAAAGTGTTAATCTAAGCAACAGTGTTTCTCTCAGATGCTTCACTTGAACTGCATAAATGAGTGAGTTAATGTCCAGGAAAGATTTGCATGCACTGCAACAGGATATCGGGACCTAATGTTATCAGATAAACAAGCTAGCCCCTACATCTGCCAGTAAAACATGTATTTTAAACATGAAACTGCTTTATTGAGGTTTTTTTGAAGAGAAGACTTTGAGGATAATTCCTTCTAGTAAAATCCTCTTTCATGATACACTCTGAAGGAATCCTTACCATATGAAGGCAACTAAAATGACAAATTCCCACAATCCTATGTCACTATGTCAGTAAAGTCGGTAAAGCTAGCCAAGTTATATTACTTCAGATTAAGCTGACCCTTTTATCCAAAGACTTGCAATAATTTTTTTCAACCAAAAACACTCAAATGCTAAAAAAGCATCCTGCAAGTGCATTAGCTTTCAATTAGCCAAACCATTGTAGTCGCTCAGTACAGAATTATCACTTTTTAGGCCAAGGTGCAGTTAAAATAGCAAGGTTTTCAGTCTGTGACGGAAAATGTTAAGACTTTCTGCGGTCCTAATATTAATGGGGAGCTTGTTCCACCGTTTTGGAGACAGTAGAGCAAACAGGTGTGTTTCTGTTAAAGGGCACCTTGGTCCTACTCGAGCACATGCTGGAGTGTAGGGTTTAACCATTTCCTGGATCAGGAAGGGCCTTATCCATTCATAGCATGGTAGGCCAGCAGGGGACACAGCTGGGACCGGAGCGCTTGTTGACGTCCAGTGGAAATGTACTTCTAATGTTTCTAAAGTTTTATTGGCTCATTTTAACAATGTTATCACTTACTTCTGATATTATTGCAGGTCTGCTGTAAGCTAGCTAGATGTAGCTAACCATGTCATTTCAAAGATACTGACAAAACACAGCCTGACTGCAAACAGGGACAGTTGGCCAACTTTAGAATCCTGAACGACAACAAGCGCTCCTGTCCCCGTTTCCGGTGTGATTTGAGCCTCTTACCGTGTTTTTAATTTGCAGCGTTTTTAATATGTGTTTGTAGCATTATGTTTATGCAGTGCTTTTAGTAAACCATGCGCATGGTTCATCAAATATGTAAATATTTTCCTATTGCAGTTCATGTGTTGTCAAGTTGGTGAAGATGTTTCTTCATTTGCATGTGTTTTGGAACATTTGTGTTTTAATATTTGCTTTTTTTCTGAAGCTGCAGCACTTTTCTCCGAATGGAAACATTTTGGAACGTTGTAGCACGTTTGCACCTGTCGGCCACCGTAGAATGGCTGATTATACATACAACGTTATGCAAGCGATCATTAACCTACTGGTTAAATTCATATCACACAGAATACAGTGAAGTTTGTACTTATGTTAAAAGAAAAGATAACCAGTAGGTTGTGCAGTGTTTTCCCTCTAACAGAGCTGTGTTTGGTGCTCTGGTAGCCTTGGAGCAGCTGCAGGGCAGAGTTTGGGAGATAAGCCCACACTTGCCCGCCTGAGGCCTGCAGTCTTTAACCTCCTCACCTCGACAGGAAGAAGAGCTTTTTGTTGTGTGTAGTGGATCCTGCACCGCTCTTTGAAATGTCGCCACACTGAGACACAAAATGTAAACAAGAGATAGTTGTGCTCCCTCCCTGTCTACAGCGACTCCCAGATTAATGAACAGCAGGTTTAAGATTCCCACTGTTACACACATGTTCAGCATGTCTCCAATCGTTTAATGGTGCTTTTTATCTGTGGATAGAGATCTCAGTGTCATTCTTTCCTCAACCTCCCAGCATGTTTTCCATTTATAGACATATTTTCCCTGTTTAATCTTACAAGAAAAATTTCAAAAGAAAACATGCCACGGACGAACACACATAAGGCCACGTTGCTTTCTTAGGAGTATTTCGAATGCATTCCTGCAGCACTGTAAAAAAACACAAGTCCAAAAAATAATTGGAGGAACATGGAGGTCACAGCTATAATTTTAACTCAGCAGGAACTTGATTGAACTTGCACTTTAGCCTACTGAGTGTGCAAGCTAGCCCACACTAACAACCCTCCCCCCTTCTCCTCTGTGTTTTCATTGCAGTAAATGTGGAACCCTGCCACCTGAAAGCTGCTTTTTCAGCCTCATATGCAGCACTGGATCTTTTATGGGTAAGTATCAACACACGTTTGTGCTCAGAGAAATGTAGTTTATTTTTTTGCCTCAACACACACGTTTACCCAACTTGCACTCTCGGTTAAACGGGGCTCTATGCGCTCGGGCTTGTTTTCTCAGCTGCGACGGCTCCAGCTAAGTCTCTGTTCCCCACAATCCACTGCCAGGTCCCGCCTCACTCCCCCCCCGCCCCCGCCCCCCCCCCCCATGATTTTTATGAGCTACAAGCATTCACCCACTGACTATGAGGGCACTACTCTGCTTTGTGCCAAAACTACTTTGAACATCTATTTGGGTCATTTACTTCAGGGTGGTGCATGCAGTTTCTTTTTTTATGTGCTTTTCTACATTTTCTGACAATATACCCTCTGTGAACTTTGTTCCACTGAGATTTTATAACATTGAGGTTGACAACATGGAATTTTACATTACACAGAGCAAGAATGTTGTTTCCAATGGAGCGAGGGGCTTCTCTCGGCCATGACTCTGATTTTCTGCCAAGTTTTGTATGGCCACAGATCAGACAGAACTAGTTTGTACGATGTGTTGACTGACCGCAATGGAAAACAGAGTTTGTTTTAGGGGCCACACTCGAAGATCTGATGTTATTTTATTGTGCAGTTGAACATTTTTCCGAGAATCTCTCCTGGAAAACATTCATAGTGTTTCACTCAGTTGTTTAGGAAAAGTGGCAGAAATTGTTTTAAAAAAGATGGCTGAGAGAAGTTCAAACCCTGTCTGAGATATACGACCAATAGAAAAACACTTCTGAAGAAGCATATTGGAGTTTGAAACTCCAAATGCACTTCTGCACCTTTTAAACAAAGCTTCCAAGGGTATTCTGGCATTTTTGGCAAGCAGAAGTTACAACATTGTGTACAGTGTATGCCATTCTGCTATCTGAAACAACTGGGAGCCGAAATAAAAGAGAACATATATTAGTGGGTGTTGATACCTAGTTACAAAGTGAATAACTTATTTTGGTTATTTGGTGTCTGTACAGTAGAATCCCTGTAAACATGCTCATGGCATGATGATGCACACATTCTTTAAACTATGCTGTTCTGTCACCTGAATAGGACTGTCAGCTCTAATAAAACGGTGACTGTTGTTATTATACTTAATGCTGCTAACAAAGCCTATACAAATGGTGCCGCAGTAGTATATACAAATATTTCTCAACCAAGGTTTGATAGCACAAACTTTCAAAATAGAGTTTGATACTTGTGAGTCTTGAGCCTGATCTCTGCTCACACACATTGTTGAGGAGCCATTATGGGGTTTTTGCACTCTGTTTAATATGCCTAGACCCTTAAATAACTTTTAGGGTCTTGTATTTGAACCTTGACATGTATTTAAATGTATCAGATAATGGACAGATATTGCTTTTCCTAGAAAAGGAAGATGTTTAAGTGATCATTAGATAACACGTTTTTGTCTTATTCAATGTTTATTTTTAAAAGTGCTGCCCTTGCTTTTTGATGTTGTATTAAAGCGGAACTGGGTTTGGTGGATGAATGTTGTGTGGGGTGCTGCTGATCACGTAGGCTTGTTACAGCACAATACACCGCTCTGTAAACTTCCATCAACACAACACAAGGGAAACACCGCACAATAAACCTGAGAAGAAACATTAAAATTTACAAAAAAGTGATGAGCTTTGTCTTAAAAATATCAGTAAAAGCTGCGTGCGTGCCTTTAGCCATATTATAAGCATGAGTGAAAACAGGAAAACTATTGGATAGATTACTTTAAAATTAGATAATCATGATCCCCAGAGGATGAACCCCATTGACTTCGGTGGGTGTTTCTCTTAAGACTGTTAACTTAGCATGTTAACACTCTAAACTAAGATGGTGAACATGGTAAACATTACACCTGCTAACATCAAAATGTTTCCATGTGACATGTTGCAACGCTAGCAATAGCATTAGCATTCCAAGCTGGGGTCTGCCCAGTTATATCTTACACAGGCTCCGCCCTCTACTGGACTCTATGGGTACTACCTCTCAACCATACCATGCAAGCATTCACCTACAGAGATATCTATAAACGTAGCCGGCCCCCCGGGACGGGCCTACCTGAATGCGGCCTCGCCTCCTGCCTGTCATCCTTTTCTCTTCAGCGAGCAGGATAACAACTGAGACGTATACGGAGAAAAGAAAGAAAGAATTTGAATCAAGATGGTCCATGCCAGGCCCCTTCATAAAGTTGTATCTCTTGGACATGTCTGGCTCATCGTCTGTGCTTGCTGGGGCAACACAGGACTGGTGAGGGGG